TGGTGCTCGACTGCCAAGAAAGAAGCGCGCACCAACCTTCTGTGTTCTGTGTGCAATGTGCCCCTTTGTTCAACGTGTTTTGGACCTTTTCATGCCGGCCGAATGTAACCAAGGATCCCCCAAGGAGCATTGGTTCAACGTGTTTTGGACTTTTTCACGCCGCCCGAATGTTGATTGATTGATTGATTTGTGGGGTTTAACGTCCCAAAACCACCATTTGATTATGAGAGACGCCGTAGTGGAGGGCTCCGGAAATTTTGACCACCTGGGGTTCTTTAACGTGCACCCAAATCTGAGTACACGGGCCTACAACATTTCCGCCTCCATCGGAAATGCAGCCGCCGCAGCCGGGAATCGAACCCGCGACCTGCGGGTCAGCAGCCGAGTACCTTAGCCACTAGACCACCGCGGCGGGGCACGCCGCCCGAATGTAACCCCGGAGCCCTCAAAGAGCATTGGGACAAATGCGTCCCATTTTTTGAATTTTAATTTAGCGCCAGTGGGACAAATGTGTCCCAGTTTTTTTTAATAAAGTACTCGTTGTACATCCTTGAAATTTCTTTCAAACTACTTCTGTTGGCTTGGTTAGTAAAATAAGACAACCTTTTTCTGGTTTTTTAAAAAAAACATATCCTGCCCTACAAAGGGTTAAAGAATGATGGGTGACACTGTCCCGCCTTTCTGATTAACCTTCAAAGACAGCTTTCAAGCGTCGAGTGTGATAGCTACGTCTCTGAACGTGAAGCTGGTTAGGGCAATCAGCCACTTCTGCTCGAACGATTGAACTCGTGTTTGGCTTCACTAAGTACATGAAATGCTGCTCGATGAGTTACTTTCACGGGGCTGCAACTGCAATTGAGGTTCTAGTAGAAAGATGAGTTAGAACTACCACATCTGAGACATTATGATTGACTCGGAGACACAAAAAAATATATGGAAAAAGCATTGTAAAAATTATTAAAAAATGCCGCCATATCCACGAAGTGAATGATGATGAGTGGGCGAAGCTCCGGAGGTAAACCTAACAAACTATGAATCCTCCGTACATTTTGCCCACTCGATTTTATTACAACGCTCCCCCTAGCGAACGTCGCCACACTAAATCGAACGATTGCCTTCCACCAATGACACGCGCCATATACGACATCATTCCTATTTTATAACATCTCGCATCTTTTCATCATCAACTACAAGTACCGTCGTCTAGTTTGAAACATCTTGCATCTTTTCATCATCAGCTACAAGTACCGCCATCTAGTGAACACTGCAAGAACTAAACGAGAGGTCGCTACATACAGGGGACGGTACCGCCATCTAGTGAACACTGCAAGAACTAAACGAGAGGTGGCTACATACAGGGGACGCACACCCACGCCTTAAGGAGCTTCGCCCCTAAAAGTTACGAAACGTTTCCACGCTGTGAAGGCGGATGACCACTGAAGTTCCATGCCCCACAAGGCTGATTCGAAAGCATTATTATGCATCTCTTTAACCAAAATGCAACTTTACAAAAACTATTTTGAAACATCATTGCTAACTGATTTGTGATAACTATAATATACACACTGACTTTCGCATTCCAGCTTGTAAAGGAATACTTTATCCTCATGTTCATCCCTTACCCAAGTCACCTAACCGCCATACACAGATCTGTGAACGGCAGTTAGGTGACTGGGGTGATGAAGCGCATGAGCAGAAACCCTTTCATTAGAAGCTGGAGAAAGAATTTTCTCTCGGCACTTAAAATGTTTCCATTCGAGTCTCCGACAATGAGTACAGGTGTGACGTGATTCACTGTCCCGCAAGTTTGTGCGCATGAAGTACTCGATGTCAGTTTTTTTTATGATTTGCAATAAACATACACTGTGATGATCAAGATTTCATTTTCAGCTTTCACACCACATACAGATCAACAATATGCTTAGTATCATTGAAGTTAGAGGGCTTGCACACAATCGTCACGCATTTGATAGACAGCAACACTTCCGGAGCGATCCTTCCCTCGCGTTTCACCAACTATGGTGGTGTATCCGTTTACTTTTGGAATTCTTTGACGCGACCATGTTCTTTACAGACACAACGGTATCTTGTTGACAGCCGAAATACTCCTCCTTCACTCGGCAGCTGCCCGTCATCCGACTAGATAAAAAGTCTGCGCGTCTTTCAAAATTACAAACGACACCAAAAGTTTACAATCTGCTGGTTAAGTAAAGTTTGTTCACTCACTCACTCCCCAAAAGTTCCAGCAAATGATATTAATCATGCAAGGCATGTTACTCAGTCTACACACATACATGCAGCGCAGCGACTGTGCTTTAGCTACGGCTGAGCTTTAACTGCGATGCTGTGCTTTCACTGCAGGTCTGAAATTTTATTTTAATATTAGGCGGATGCAAGCACCAGGCCCTTGGCCTTTTTTTGCTGCATGGCGGCGTCTAATGCATTGCTCAACCGGCGCTCCATATCGTGAGCGAAAACAAAAAGAGACACTGCAAAACCACGATAAGTGCAGAAATGGTTCGAGTCGGTCAATACAATCGACTCATTGTTTTCGCCTTCCAGCCATCTTTAACACAACAGTGATAATGCAAGTTTTTTTCAATAACAGCGGGTCAAAATGACTTACCTTTTAAAATGAGGACGTGGCTCACGCACCACCAAGCTGGTGGTGATGATGATTATGACGCCCTAAATATGGTAAAACCCCTTAACGGCGATTCCGTCAAGCTGAACATTTTTTCTTCTCCTTTTGTTCTTCTTCTGCTTATTATTATTATTATTATTATTATTATTATTATTATTATTATTATTATTATTTTATTACACTCTTTTCTAGCTGAACTATGGTTCTCATTGGCATAGAAACCCGTTTTAATAAATTTAAGTACGTAACATCATATAAATATTTCGGAATTCAGCTCCCCAATAACCTTTCTTGACATGCGCACATTGAGCACATCAAAAACACAACCAACAGATCTCTCTAGTACATATAGGCAAAAAAATTTTCAAAGCACCGTGACATTTAAAATTACTGTTCTACAAAAGACTGATTAGACACAAGCTCACATCCGCTTGTTCTGTTTGGGATTCCGGTCAAAATCATGAACAATTATAGTTAAATCATTTGAAATCGTTCAGCGTGTTTAAATAATTAAAATTATAATGTTACACCAAGAGTTTCACAAATGAAATCGGCGCTTGGAAAAACATAAAAAACAGAAAAAAACTTTTGTCAGTGTCGTTTTCAAAAATTTATCTACCAGAACAATTTATTCAAACAGGAACTAATTTCGGAACCTCCATACACATCATCGAGTCTTGATCATCAGAACAAAATTTTCAGTCCTTTTTGTGGCACTAATGTTCTTGTCAGAATCCTTTTTGTCAAACACCAACGCTGAGTGGAACCGCCTTCCTACCTCCATCACCTGCGGCGAGGACACGTCAGCATTCAAGGCTGCACTAACCGATTATGCATTGAGTCTATAAAGGTTTAGTGTTGCTTGAAAATGTGTTCTCATTGATTTGTTGTATGCCTACATTTTATTTCAGGCATTTCTATTTTTATTTCTGGCACAGTAAAGGAAAAGTTTTGTACTGTAAAGACCATTTTTGTGTGGTCTTCACTTAATCTTCATTTAAAGGGACCCTAAAATGGTTTTGGCAATTTTTCACTAACACAGTGGGCCGGTAGACAGACTCCAAGGGGTAATTAAGAGACCAATTTGAGCTCTCTGCGTAAACTGCGTAATTTATTATAAAACTTTAAAGCTGCGATTCACTCGAGATCGCTGCAGATCACTGTGACTCGGCCAAACGCGTTTTCAACGGCCCACAAACCAAGCGACACGATCTGCCTTATTTACGTCATCGTTCTCAGCTGATCTGATTGGCTTTGGAACACGTAGCACAGGTATTTTTTTTTCTAATAAACAGGGACAAAAAGGTTTTTGGAATTTGTAAAACATTTATAATTTATGTTGATTAAAAATTTTTTTACAGAGAAAGAGAAGACGATCGCAGTTTACAACTCAGCTTTGGAACTTCCGGCACACGGCGAACGTTGTCTGCTTGGATAGAGTGAACTAGAAGTGTTGAGTGGAGTGACCACGCCTCGCCGCCTGATGCCCTCCGCGTTGCCCGTAGCGGCGGCGCTGCAGTCGAACAGTACTGACAGAGCCGCGCACCGCGCGCAGGAACTGCTAGCCGCTTCAGCTTCTCCAGTGCTCTTTTATAGACGATAGTCTTTCTTGGGGACCTTCAACGCAAAAAATTTGGTCTGCCTGTCTGTACTTTTGTCTGTTTGTCCACTCTTAACAGCATCGAGCTTTGAAACGGCCGACCGCATCCTCAGTGCCCACCTTTGTTGCTCAAGATTGAGCGTTCATATTTGTGCAATTGTCGATTAAAAAGCAATTATTGCGCGTGTCTGGGACACTATAACAACACGTATATATTCTGCATGGGCGCATTTTACTAGAAAAGGCATACATAAGTAATTCTAAGGGCTGTAGCACTTATCACGTTGCACTGACCATCCAACGCTTGCACAGAAAGGCGAGTGTTTGCAACGCTTTGCTAAAACCAGACGGTGGTGGCACCTACCCGTCGCCTTGCGTTCGACATCTTACCACCACTGAGGCGGGCGCGTACATCCGTCTCAGAGCCACGCGCTTTGTTAATAAAAAAAAAACTGCCAGATGGCGCTCATGTTTCACGTGTGACGTGACTTTATGCGCTCCTTCGCCTCTGCTGGCTGCTGCATGCTCGAGTCACTAGGGTACGCACACACTAGCGGGAAGCGTGCCGCCGCGGCATGACGCGCGTCTTCGCCGCCGAGCGGTGAAAAGCGGCACGCTGGCCACATCTGCGGTAGTCACGTGACAACAGTCTCGAGCGGTCTCGCAGCGGTTCGCGAGATTTCGCGCGCTTTTTCGTCGTCTGTTCTTTGCTCTCCCACTTTACTGTGCAATCGTGCGAACAATGGCCGGCGACGACGATCTCCTCGCAACGCTCAACGTTACCATGATGGCTTGTCTGCTGTTGCTTCAGCGTCGCCGCTCTTGAAATGCGCCGCGAAGATATTGGGTGCATCCGCTTTGGAGGTACAGAGATACTGAAGGACAGGCCCACACACTGCTTCCCCGTCTGCGAGCAAGGGATGAAGTCTATTTCCGAGAGTAAGTAATTTATATCATTCAGTGTTTAGTGCTGTTAAAATCAGTTGACGGCAAATTTTCAGGTGCCAAGAAGGGGCAATCAAAACGAGGTTTCATGCCTACAACTTCGTCAGTATAGGCATAATAAATTTCTACATGAATGCAAATCTTTTCAATGATTGTACAGGTTGCGCATGACATCGCATGGCATTCATGGTCGTGTGCACGAGGGGAAGGGAGTGCGCGGAAAGTGTGCCTCTTTAATTAACTGCGTTATGGCCACTCAGGTTTGTGATGATAATGGTCGACAGCCAAAAGTCCGTGAATGAGACGGCGGTCCCTTGGCTGTTTACTTCCCGTCTTTACTTCAGGAAGACCATGGGCCGAATAGTCTAACGAGGTCCCCCTAGGTAACTGTACGCCTATGCGCACATTCACTTTTCAATGGCCACTGTTGATTACCCGAGTATTGCGTATGGTCAAACATACATAAAAATAATACTTGAAAACTCGGAATACTGATTCAGAAGCACTACTTCATGTCTTACTGATGCGATGAATTAGGAACAAATTAATTCATTTAAATACATACAATACAATAAGTTCAAGAGACAATATTTATTAAGAATTTAACATGTTCTTGTGTGAGAGCTGTTAGGTCCACACTGGCGATTTTTGTGTGCACAATGACAATATTCGAATTGAACAGGGCATTCATCCTAACACTGCCAAATACAGCCCATTTGATGTTCAAAAAAATACGTTCGGTGAGCATGAGGAACGTAGCCTAGCAATCTATGTGAAAATTGACAAAACAATAGGGAACTGCCACTATTTTCCAATTTAATGTTGCGCCTCCCATCACTGAAAATAAGTGCATACACTGGTGAAGTATGCAGAGTGTTAACAGATGCTGCTGAAGTGAAGTTGTATTAGGGGACATTGAATGACTGAACCTACACTGGGGTCCTAGAGTGCTGAGGCTTAAGAACTTCTGTAGCTTATTTAAGAACAGGTCTCTAGTTCTTGTCCAAGACCCACTGTAACTTTGCACATGCCCTTTCAGGCACTGGTCATTCAGGAACAGCGGCTATTCTTTTCTACATATATACTGTATGCAATGTTTGCAATTGGAGTTCCTCCACAATGTCAGAGTTTCGTGGTACTGTTTGTGAAGAACATGTAGATTTCGATGCACAAGTAGGCAACATCTCCTAGCAGGCTATCCACAAAGAGGGCAGCTTGAGCCTTCTTGATAATAGTTCTCCCGACACCTGAAAAGCTGTTAATACTGACCGTGATGTCCGAAGAGTTGCAGCTATAATACTCAAGAGCTTCTAGGTATGCTCATAAATGTTCGATGATGGGTGCTGACAGAATGGTTGCATAAGGCAGCTTCTCATCAACTTTTAGCGTGTTCTTAAACAAGACAGAGGACAGAATATGCTTGCTTAACAGTGTGCTAAAATAAAATATATTGTAAAATGGATTACTAACATCTCCAAGCCTATGCTCTGTCAGGTTACATTCTCGTTGTATGAGCTCGCATGAGAGGGTGTCCTGAGAAACATGGCCTTGTCCTGGCAAAGTAGTGTTCGTAAGAAGACATTTTTCATATAAAGAATAGGCGAATAGGGGTTGTGTGCTCGAGCCGATGTTTTGACAAGCAAACTTGTCTTTTTCAAGGCTAGAATAGAACAGTTTTGGTCTAGCCTTGAGCGAGACAAGTCCACTTGTCAAAATGTCGGCTCCAGCAAAGTACATCTGTTTACTGATTTTCTCTATTTTTTCCTTCCCGCCATTTTCATGCATTTAGGCAAAAATGGCCATATTTGGTATTTATATACACCATAAAAACTACAGAAAAGCCCTCAGTAGCCTCTAATTTATGATCTTAAATGAAAGCAGCACGATAGGAGTGCAAGGAACAAAAAAAAAAGCAACACCCTAAAATCCGGTTTCTAGTAATCAGCCTCATTTTTCAGTTTCCTCCGAATGCCACCAAGGACTTTTGACACATTGCTCAGTCTCGTTGGACCACTTATCGAGAGAAGAGTGACGCCGTTTCGGCTGCCAATTTCTGCACATGAAAGGCTGGCGATGACCCTGAGGTAAGGCAATCAAAAGAAAAGTGATAATCAAGCAACACATTTGCAGCTCTGTACTACATGCTAAAGCATAGCTACACCAAAACCTATGTTTACTAATATAGTAATATTCACGCTTTATGCTCAATACCATACACTCCAAGTTAGCACCATAGAATAGTTATTAGGTTATGGCCTTAAAATGAAAAAAAAAGACAGTTCCATGTTTATGTAACCTTAGCACATAGCATAGGTGGAAAACGACACCACTTGCCGAACGCAGATGAAGATATTCTGTCGTCATCTCTGTCATTTATTTCATGCCCATTCATCTGTTTATACACATTCTTTATTGTTTCTTTCATCTTTATTTATCTCATTACGTATTGCCCTCTTCCTTTTCCTAGGCATTGAGCCGTGCTCCCTATCAGGCTGTGAAAATCAGGCGCTTTCTTCTTCTAATCATGAACACCTTTCCTTTCCCTCTTGTTCACTCGAACATCAGTCTGCTACACCCACAGTCACTTTTCGAATCCCACATTTAAACTAGGTTATGTGAGGCTATGCCATACTCTATTTTCGTCCCATTTTGCTTTACTTCCTCCTCGCTTTTACAGCACTTCTCCTCAGTCAAGTAAGTTTTCAGGAATACTAAATGACAAAGTTTTTCACATGTCGTTTGACACCTAATGAGAACATACACTGAAAGCTTTGTTGAGATCACTAGAAAGAGAAAAATCACTAGTTTCTTTTGCTTGGGGAAGTGGGAAGCCTGCATGACCTGCCTCTCTAGTTCAGCATTGCGATCGCTGTTTTGAAGCAAGAGCCATTCATTGTCTTCAGCAGCATTAAGCATCCAGCTCAGTGCAACAAAAGTAGATGTGTTGCCTTAAAAACATTTCTGTATTTTCAGATTTCTTGCTAATGGAGACACCTTCCGAAGTCTGTCATTCAACTTTCTGACAGGACGATCCACGGCAGGTGAAATAGTAAGGGAAACAACGGCCGTGCTCTGGCATGTTCTCCAACCACTGTACATGAAGTTTCCTCAGACAACTGGGGAGTGGAAAAGGGTAATGGGAGGACCATTCATACTAGATTTTTTATTTTAGTGGCTGATGTGTATCAGTGGCGTATGAGGATTGCTGTGGTTTCATCATTTTTCTTTGAAAAATACATTCACAAGCAACTTATCTCATTGAACTTTTCATTAACTACATTAAGTAGTCTAAATTCTGTGCTTTTTTTTTCAAATAAAGAAGTCAGTGTTCCTCATGGCCATGTAACGTGCTGCAGTTACAAAAATAATCAGAAATAAGTTATTCCTCTCAGTCCACTGGAATTATGCAAGCAGTTGGCCACACCAAGGAGAATGATAAAGTGGTTGCTTGGTAACATTAAAACATCAGCAAATGAGTGGCTGGCAGTGCACTCCTTTTGTGAAATGACAACAGGAAGTATACACTCAGGTTGCAGTAATGGTGAAATAATTTGAGCTCGGCTTGCAAAGTATTTCATTTTCAAGAGTAGTACGTTGTTACTTGTCGAATTCATTTAAAAAATTGCTTTAGAAATTGCTTGGTGCCCATTCAGGTAAATGACTCTGATGCAGTAACTGCTTTTTGAATATTTAAACATATTCGAAATTTAATTTCATTGGTTCTGTGCTGGTACATAATATGTTTCAAGCAATTGGCCTATTTTAGTCCGACAGTGTGTGTTGTAATGCTGTGAATGCTTCAATTATCTGCAAGCCACAACTCAGCTCCAACTAGGCATCTGCATAACTTTATGTTTAATTGTCATATTTCATGTTGCATTCTAGTGTTTATCATTGAACAAGCATTTTGTTCCACTGAGTTCAATTATATTGATTTTATTTTTTTGTGGCTCTTTCTTGATGGATCTAGATTGCTGCAGATATGGAGGAATTTTGGAATTTTCCTAATTGTTTGGGAAGCATAGATGGAAAACATGTCATCATTGAATGCCCAAGGAATACCGGTTCAAGGAACTTAAACTACAAGAAAACCATCAGTGCTGTTTTCCTTGCAGTGTGTGATGCACATTACAGGTGAAATTCTTTTTTACTTACTGGCCTTCTCAAGTAGTAATGACAACGAATAGGCAACTTGGTTGAATTTCCTCTCATGGTAATTCTTGACTTAATCATGTGGGCTTAAGATATCATAACAAGCAGATTGTCATACTCATTCAACATTATCTTCAATGGTGTTACAGTCACTTACGTTCATGCTAAACTGTGGGGTTCCACACTTGCATTATTACTTACACTCATAGATATTCATAACGATTTCCATTTGTTCAGATAGACTTTATTAATAGTAATACTGTTATCCCTTCCCTCTCTCTAGCACTCATTACCACTGCCACTGGCATGCCTTAAAACCTGTCGCCAGAAAGCAGTGTTGCATCTACGACAACACCATCACTCGCTCTTTTTTACACCTACCGGATGAGTGAGGAGGAAGTGAAGTCTGGGTGGTGTGCTGTATAACTATGTCTACTAGATTTTCTTTTTGGTTCTCCCACTGTGTGTTTTTCCCTTTTTAGCGTGAATATGGCAACAATAATGATGAGGAAGTGAAGCCTTTGGCGGGGAGGCTATGCCTCATTATAAGACGTGATTAAAAGAGAGCAAAGTAGGTACAGACCAGTGTCGGATATCACACGTCTAAGTGGAAGGCTTCAAAGTTTCGGTTGCTTGGTGTTTAATCTTTCACATGCCTTGACATCACACAGACACATACATGTAGCGTTTCATTTACATCAAAGCACTGCGACCACAGCCCTGGTCAAACACATGACTTGTACGTAAACAGCCACATGTAACAAAAAGGTGGATCATCTTGCACAATAATTACGGTATTCATTTGCGGGCTGACCACTAAGCTTAATAAACTTTTCTTGTACACTGTATGCTCATTTTTGGAGGATAATTACATTCTGCAAGTTTTTACAGATGGCCAGTACATGTACTACTGGACTCGCTATGGAAAACCAGTCCTTTTCACAAAGGCAACAATATGTGTTCTTATACAGCATTACCTATCACTGTATTCCAGATTTACATACGTTGACATGGGCCACTTTGGAGGCGAAGGAGACAGTGGAATTTTTTTAAGGTCTCGTTTGCTGGATTGCTTCAACAGAAGACTGTTTGGAGTTCCCCCACCATCAAATGTCGGAAGCATAAGACTTATACCCTATGTATTAGTAGGGGATGAAGTCTTTCCCCTGAAGACTTTCATGATGCGACCCTACCCCCAGCGAGGCAAGTTTAGTTGTGCATGTGCAGCACAATTTCTTTCTTGATGCTGGACAATTATGCAAATACAAAGAAAATTCTTATAGAAGATTCTACAAAAAAAATTAATATAGAAATAGAGTTAACAGCTCATAGACACTACACAAGTTAAATGGGAGTAGTTAGACAATATCTGCACTACTGAGGCATATAGTTACTGTAAACTATGCGGAGAGATAGGAGTGTCAAAGGTAGCGTATACTTCGGAAGTGTGCAACTATGCATACCAAAGCAGACTGCAGGAGCTGAGTCTATTTGTCATGTCATTGAGTGGCTCTGCAGAAAGGCCTCCTACATTTGTGGGGATTCTTAATTGGGCTGTATTAAGCAGATGTTGATGGTAGTGTAGTTGACATTGTCAGTGCTTTATTAAATTTTGGAAAACTGACTTGTGTTAGCCATTTCAATGATATACGCAACATTTTGACCTTTTAGCTAGTACTTGTAACATATAAAAAGAACCAATTCTTGAGAAAAGGGGCGGTGCAATCAAATTTCGAAGGTAAAGCAAGCATGTTGTGGCAAAGCATCGTCCCAATGCTTTGCCAGTTGGTATGTGGCAGAGGTTCTCGAAAGTTCTCGTTTGTTTTGTAGGTGCTTGTATGACGTGTGTGCGAGAAAGCCAGCGAGAGCAGACGATAATCAGCATGACATGCTTCACAGCCTTGTGTAGCCATGTGACCAAGCTACACAGCCATGTCACATGCTAATTCTGCGCCTAGAAACCGAACTTGTAAAAAAAAAGGTCCACATAAAAATGATATTAATCTATTTAGCAAGAATAAATTAACCTTGATGAGTATATCATGCTTGCTGGAGAGCAAACAAAGCGCAAGCCACAAAAATGGTGCCAGCAATGCAGCTTCTGCGTACTGCTTAACTGCTTGCAATATCGCAGCCAGAATATTACATTACAGGATGACACTATGTATAAAACTCATGCCGAGTTCTTACAATCAGCGCTTGTGCTACGTACACATACACGGAAAGTTGTTTGCACAAACATAAAGCTTCTGCTTTGCACTCCAATACCTGCTGTAATGAGTAATGATACCTCATTATTTTTCCTTTGATGTTCTTACGTGCGTTTCTTTGCTTACTTAATTTTCTTTAGAACTTCAGAAGCACCGGAGCAATCCTGCACAGCGTGCGGAGTACCTTCAGAGGGCCACCTTCAATTACAGGCTGAGCCGCGCACGCCGCCTCATTGAAAATGCATTCGGCATTATGTAAAGTCGGTGGCGGATTCTCCGCAAAGCCTTTAGGGCCTCAGAGACCACCACCGAAAACATCATACGGGCATGTGTCGTGCTGCACAATTTCATGCTCCAGGAGTCGCCACATGCAAGGCTGACATATAATCCACCTGGCTATGTGGACCATGAGAACTGGCAGGGCAGCTGCATGGAAGGAGCTTGGAGGGACGGCGACGATGACCCCTCTATATTTAGGGAGCCCACTGCGTCTGGCTGTCACTCCGCTAGGTAAAATTTTGAACACCCTACCTTTTACCTTTTATACGTTTGACATTATTATGTGCAATTCATTTTCTCAAAATAAGGTTTTTGCTGAAAGGCATCTTGCTGTCGCAGTCACACTCTTTCTTACATCTTAATTTTAGAAAAGTACTGCCATTATTTTTGTAGAACTCGTGTTCTAATTTGCAAATGACAGTTCAGAGCAAATGTCAATAATTCTGTTCACTTTTATATTGTGTGCATCTACTTTGCAGAGTGGCTATAGATGTCCGGGAGAAGCTCGCCAAATTCTTTATGAATGAAGGCTAAGTTCCGTGGCAAGAGCGCATCGTCACTCAAGCAGGTCAGCGGGTAAACTGAAGCCTGAGTAAAGGCAGATACCCTTTATATCACTTGTTGTTTAAATTGTATTGTCAGTATATATTGTATTGTTCCTCCTTAAAACGAACGGGACAGCGTTATAGCCTCAGTATGGAACTGGCATTCATCTTGATTTGCTTTATTCCCAACTTCATCCTTCTTTTCTTTCCTGCTCCGGCTCTCGTGCTTTTTTCTTCTCCTGTGTCAGGGCTCGTACCACTTCACCTAGGGCTCATACCACTTCACCTTTTCCGGTTTCTTGTAATTACCCCTACTGGGGTAATATTTGCAGACTTTTCCAATTGACGCATATTCAACCGATCCACGTTCACCAGTGTACCAGACAGTCTTCAAAATTCCATTCTGGGTGGCTGTCTTGGTCACAGGGTAAGGACCGCAAAATTTGGCACTGTCATCTCTTATTCCTTTCCTCACTAATACGAGGTCGGTGACTTGAATGTCTGGCATGTCTGCTCGATGCCTCTTGTTGAAATTTTTTTTTCATTCATTTTCGGTATCTCTCCTCCTGTGATTTTTCTTGCCTCTCCTCAATGATCTTGATGTTTTTTAAGAGTCCCAACTCACAGTCTGCCTGCAAAATAGGGGTTTATACTGAAAAAACGCACTGTAGATTGCACCCAAAGCCACTTGTATAGGATAGATTATGATGTATCACGGCGGCTTCCAAAGAACATTTCCATCCACCAGGAAAGCTATCGTACATCTTGATGTACTGTTTCACGTCCCGTATGGCACGTTCTGCCTGCCCATTCGCTGTGGGATGGTGTGGAGCACAGAACTTGATCGATATATTGTGATCCCGAGCCCATCTTAC